TCGTAGCCAAAACCTTTTTCCCAGTCTGTAGGTTGTCTTTTGACTCTTTTGGTGAAGTCTTTTGATGAGCATAAGTGTTTGATTTTTAGGAGCTCGCAGTTATCTAGTCTCTCTTCTGGTGCTTGTGCATTGTTACTTATTGTTCATATTGTGTTTATGCCATGTATTAGGGCTCCTAGCGTTGTCCCTATTTTTTCTTCCGTGATCTTTATCATTTCTGATTTTATATTTAAGTCTTTGATCCATTTTGAGTTAGTTTTTGTGCATGGTGTGAGGTATGGGTCTTTTTCAGTTTTTTGCAGATGGAGATCCAGTTATGCCAGCACCGTTTGTTAAACAGACTGTCTTTTCCCCCAATTAATGGACTTTGGGTCTTTGTCAAATATCAGCTGCTCATAGGTGGATGAATTTATGTCTGGATTCTCAATTCTGTTCCATTGGTCTATGCATCTGTTGTTGTACCAGTACCAGGCTGTTTTGACTACCATGACAGTATAATAGGTTCTAAAATCAGGTAGTGTGAAGCCTCCCACTCTGTTCTTTTTCTTGAGTAACGCGTTACATATTCAGGGCCCTTCCGTTTCCATATGAAGCTGGTGATTTGTTTCTCCATCTCATTAAAAAATGCCGGTGGGATTTGGATCGGGATTGCATTGTATCTGTAGATTGCTTTGGGTAGAATTGACATTTTCACAATGTTGAGTCTACCTATCCATGAGCAAGGTATGTTTTTCCACTTACGCAGGTCTCTTTTGGTTTCTTGCAGTAGTGTCTTGTAGTTTTCATTGTATAGGCCTTTTACATCTCTGGTTAGATTTATTCCTAAGTATTTTATCTTCTTGGGGGTTATTGTAAATGGTATTGATTTGTTGATTTTCTCTTCGAGGTTCTCTTTTCTGGTGTAAAGGAATTCAACTGATTTTTGTATGTTTATCTTGTATCCTGAAAGTTTGCTGAAATCTTCTATTAGTTCCAGTAGTTTTCTTATGGATTTTTTGGGGTTTTCTGTGTATAAGATCATATCATCTGCAAATAGAGATACTTCAACTTCTTCCCTACCAATCTGGATGGACTTTGATTCTTTTTCTAGCCTAATTGCTCTGGCTAGGACCTCCAGCACAAGGTTGATTAACAGTGGTGATAAAGGACATCCTTGTCTGGTTCCCATTCTCAAGGGGAATGCCTTCAAAGTCTCTCCATTTAGGATGATGTTGGCTGTTGACTTTGTATAAATGCCCTTAATTATATTGAGCAATTTCCCTTCTATTCCTATTTTGTTGAGAGTTTTTCTCATGAATGGGTGTTGGACTTTGTCAAGTGCCTTTTCTGCATCGATTGATAAGATCATGTGGTTCTTGTCTTTTGTTTTATTTATGTGATGGATTACATTGATTGTTTTTCTAATGTTGAATCATCCCTGCATACCTGGTATAAATCCCACTTGATCAAGGTGAATTATTTTTTTTGATATGTTGCTGAATTCTATTGGCTAGAGTTTTGTTGAGGGTTTTTGCATCAATGTTCATGAGGGATGTTGGTCTGTAATTTTCTTTTTTTGTGGTGTCTTTTCCTGGTTTTGGTATCAGGGTTATGCTGGCTTCATAGAATGAGTTTAGGGGTATTCCATCCTTTTCTATGCTCTGAAATACCTTTAGTAGTAGTGGTGTTAACTCTTCTCTG